TGGCCGCCATGCCGAGTGCGGGCAGGCGCGAGCGGAATGCGGAAGCGCTGAAGCCGGCTGCCGCCACGTTGAGTGCGGGCACCCCTCCGGTCCGCGCAGCCGCAGTGGTGCCGGCGAGGCAGGAGGGGAACGCTGGGTAAGCGCGGGGTGGCTGCGGCCTCCACCTTCCCAGCTGGGAAATGGGAGGGCTGGGGAGCAGCACCTCGTGTGCGGGCCCCGGGCTTGTTTAGAGCTCGCACCTCAGTCGGGGTGAATGGGGCAAGCAGGAAGCCCCTTTCCCTGGGCTAAAGATGCTTGGGGCCAGATTCAACTTGGTGTCAAAAAAACAAAAGTGGATGGAAAGATATGGCGAGAATTCGCCGCAGCAACACTCGCCCCAACCTGCGCCCACTGAGCTGGGTGGGGACTGTGGCCCCTCCTCCTGAGCCTGCAAATCCTGCGGGGAGGAGGTTCCCAAGAGGAGGGTGAACCCGGCACAGAAAAGCATTGAACACTGCGAGATGTTCAGCTGCAGCAGGGAAGAGGGCTGTATTAAGGACCTTGGGCAGGACAGATTCTGCCCTAGCTCCAGACCAGGCTCCTGTAACGCTTGTAAACAGCGATTTGCCCAAACTCTCATCTCCTAAGTTTTTTCATTTGTGTGCTGGACGTAGCAGGAAGCAGTGCTGTGACGCAGGGAGTTGGGTTTCCAACTCCTTCCAGCCCGTGGCTGTACTGCTGAAGATACCAACAGGCTCAAAAGATACAGGTAGAGAACTCTTAACTTGCCTGGCATGATGCAGACTAAGCAACTATTGCTTTTCCTTAGGAAAAAACAGCAGAAAAACCTGGGGGCACTATTGTACTCCAGTGCGTGGTATTCACACTAAGGATAGAATGAGACCAGCTATTGCTTGTCATATAAAAAGTTTATTTAAACACTTTACAGGAGCAATTGGTAATCGTTACATTTTCATATTTTGACTGATATGATGATCAATGATACAGGATCCATCAATAAATGTTCTGGGATGAATATAATCAAGTAACAATGAATGAGCTAAACTGTTACCTCTAAACCACCTTTGCACGCATAAGAAAGGTGGATCTCAGAGTGATTCTTGCTTACAGAAATCTGGTACAATAAAAGCCAACCATGACCTGACATTTCAAGTCAGATCAGGGGAAGGCAGCTAGACTGTATTATCTCCAATTACAGAATTAAAGTTATGTGTATAACACATTTTAAATTGAATCTATACTGCCTTTACAAAAGGCATAATTTGGCGACACAAAGCAACAACACACAGTATTAAGGGATCACACAACATGGAATCCACATTTCTAACAAAATAAATTAAGGTTGCTGTTAACGAATGTCTAATAATTATCTAAGCAATACATGCAAGCACTGCTGTATCTCCTCCCTGAACCGCATCTGCATCTCTGCCACCTGCTGGTGGGTGAGAGCCTTGTCACAGGACTGGAAAGTCAGTCTGTAGCAGAGGCTGGTCTGCCCCGTCTGCGGATGCTGAAAGGTATCAAGCAGCTGGATGGACACAACAGTTTCCTGTGACACCCGCCTAGCAACAGTGTGAAACGCAGTCTCATCAAACTGCTCCGGCTCAGGAACCCAGAAGCTGACGTCATGCACATAGGAAGGTGGATAGAGTGAAAAACTCTTGAAAGATCTTAACTCTCCTTTACCAAATTGATTCAGGAAACGCTCATCGAGGGTCCAGAGCATTCGCCAGTCAGGAATGCCACAGACCTGCATGGCCAGGAGGTCAAGATTCACAGATGCAAACACAGTGCCCAGATCGTTGTTTACTAGCCCACTGGGAGCTGCTGCTATGGTTCCCACACAAGAGCCCTTGGCACTGGGGTAGGAAGCAGTTTTTACACAGATGAAATATTGACTTTTATTGTGCTGAGGCTTGGAAGTGACAAAGTCATTCAGCTCTGTTGTTTCATAGGTTCCTACTTCCATCTCTGACAAATTCAATGTAATGTGTGCATCAGACTGGAGCAGAGAACACAGGGAGTTTTTAATGCTATCCATAAGCATTTGGATATAGTGACCCTCTGAGCCCTTATTAACCGTGCATATAAAGAGGGTCTCATGAAAAACTGGCAGTGTGTGTGGAGAGATCAGACACTTCCTAAAGACCAGCCCACTGAGAACATACACAGTGCCAGGAAGAAAGCCCAGGCTCTGTGCTACTGGCTGAACATCAGCCAGAAGGGAAGGTCTAAGATGATAATGCTGTGAGATCTGGTCTCCTTTCTGAGGAACCTTTACACACTCATTCTGGTCTGTATCCTTGGAGAAATTAAGGCCAGAAAATGAGAGAGTTCTTGCTGTTCCACTGCCTGTTGGGTCAGAGCTTGGATTTTGTTCTGCGTCAGGAGCAATCCAAAAGATGTCTGAATGAGAAAAAGAGGTGGGGAGGCCTTGGTGCAACAGAGGTAGGGAACAGTCAACCCGCTGCAGCGGAAAGGTCTGGCTGAGCTCTGCCATGAGCTTCTCATTTATTGTTCTGACAGGATGACCTGAATTTATATCAAGGAAGCCCCTGTGAAACAAAACAACAGATTATAAAACTCACTACAGTTGGACCATTAAAAACATTTTCCTCCAACTATCATTTAAGACTAGTGTGATGAGCCCCTTCTCCACAGCGATCCTTGATATGCAGCTTCCTTTCCATTTCAAGAAAGGAGAGGTGTGTTAAGAGTGCAACCAGGGTTTAGCTGCATCTTGGCTGGTGGGAAAGGGAGGAATTTACTAGCATGCGTCTTCTGATTTCCACTCGTGTTTGCATTAGCAAGTTATTTAAGGAGGCCAAAGAAACAGTGCTAGCACTGGACAGCTCCAGTATATACAGCTGTTCAGAGACTGGTTACCGTTTTTAATCATAACTTGCCTTAGGACTGTTGCATTAGCACACTAAGCCAGCTCCAGGGCTGCTCTCAAATCACTATACAAGGTGTTAGTATTTCAATCTTCTACTTCAGTATGTCAGAACAGTCTTGCTGCACCTCAGTCTTCACAAATGAGTTACCCTCTCTTACCCTAGGTGAATCATGAACATGGAAGAAACACTTAAAAATAAATGAAATTATCAAATCCGTCATCCCCTTTCCCCTCCAACAGGGGACAGCATTTGGGGTATTTAGTGAGTACCTGTCTCAGAGAGACAAACTGATCATTTGTGCAAGACTGCAGATTGTTAGTAGGGTATTTGTTCCTTGTTTGCTTTTATGGGCCAATCTGATACCAGACAGATAACCTGAGATTGGACTCAAATACTCACCTGTTGATTTTATCTACAAATATTTCAGGAACCCGGAAAGAAATGCATTTGCTGTCCAGTTTAATCTGACAGATCAAAGGGCTGGGGTGTGGAAATGGCAAGCTCCGGGTAAAGATGTGGTTCAAGGCACCTTCTACACAAAAAGACTTGTCTTGACTCCTGGTAACACAAACAAAAATGACAGCTGAAAAAGTAATGGTACTTCTAGCTAACATTAAGCATACAAAAAGAGGTGACATCACACGACTGCTGAACCAATGCAACAGTCAGCCCAGTAATGTACACACTGTAGAGTATCAGCACTCCACCCCAGGTAAAGAAACTGCAACATTGGAAACCACCACTGCAGATGCCAGACATTGTGAAAGGGACCAAGACACAGTAAGAACATTGGTGACAGGTTTCAGCAGGATCTGTACGTTACCTGTAGCCTGTGCATTCATATCCAGGAATGTGCTCCACCTCAAAAGGATGAACATCACTCAGGATAAATCCTGCTCCTGCTCCCATGGCGACGACCTGCCAGCTGTTGTGCCACTCTCTCATTGGCTGGTCAGCGGGTGTTCCGCCTTGTCCTCTGCAAAGAACCACATGAACCTCCCCCTTCTCTGTGAGCACTTCTGCACAGCTAGAATGAGAACCGGGTAATAAGAATTCCCCTAAGCAGAGAGGTGCATTGATACATTGGTCCAACATCAGATCAGCACCAATATAAAGAAAGTTATCCATATCGGAAATCTCTTTTGTGCGCATGTATTTACACGCACACCCCGCTCTCCACACCACCGGGCTGGTATCGGAAATCGGATCAGTATCGGCCGATATGCCTCTTTAAAAATCGGTATTGGCCGAGGTACACCCCTCCTAAAGCGCACACAAATTGAACGTGGACAACACAACAGGGGGAGCAAAGGGCAGACAGTGGATTCTGAGGTCACTGAAAACTCTATACTTTTTCATAGCTTATCAGCTACACACTTTTTAAAACGCCATGCAGCATTCAACGCTTCATTAAGGAAGCGTCAGGAAGTTTCTATAGCATAGCTCAACTCTATTTTACTCACCTACAGAAAAATTTGGCGAGGAGCTCTCTGTTCTTTTTCACCCCCGACTTCTTCCCACAGTGGGGGAAGTTAAAATAAATACGATCAAACCTTCTCTCTACCGGTGAAAAGAATTCCTTCAGTCTGGTGCAGTCCACACCAAAGCGAACGTCAGCTCCTACAACAATCAGAGCAAGAGGAGAGCAGTGAATGTAAAGGATGGACCCCCATGGCAACGCACAGGGGGTGCACATGCCTCCCACCCGGAGAGCGCTGGTGCACCCCCTGACCAGCTGCACCCCCCACTTAGGCGACAGGCGGGACGGGAGCACAGGCACCCCCTCGGATGAAGCACTGCAGCCACTTCCGGTCAGCCCCAGGGCAACGAAGGTGGCACCAGTTGCCCACGACGGACCCTCCTCAATCAGGACAAGGACACGCGTGCGGGTGTATCTGGGTTAACTGTCTGGCACACTGCTTCTACCGTTGGTGATGAGCAAAAAAGGAAGAGAAAGCCCCTTTTTAAAAATCTGACCTCGAGACACAGACAGGGGCCCAGATCCCACCGAATCCCTCCCGAAAAGGACGTGGGCAGGATGGTCTCAACCGGACCAACTCGAGTCTGAAACGTTCTCCGGAGCCCCAGACTCGTCTTCCCTGCCGCGACCCGCCCCGAATCGGCGTCAGAAGCAAAGCCCCCTCGTGCTTCTGCCCTCGCTGGTTACTGTCTAGACTCAACCTCTCGGCCCCGGGTGTCGGGGGGCACAGCTCTCCCTCCGGCGCAGGGGGCCTGGGGCTGCCAACTCCCCACCCCCACGGC